ACCTCCCCTCCTGCCCTTTTCCTCATTGTCTGCACTTGGCCCCCTGGCATTTGTCTCTCCTGTACCCCTGTCCCTTGGTGCCTTCCCCTTTCTTCTTCTCCTGACCTCCTCCCCTCCCCTTAGCACAAGCCCCTTCCCCATATTTTTCCCCTTCCCCTCCCCTCCTCTCAGCACAGTCCCCTTCCCCATATTTTTCCTCTCCCCTCCCCTCTCTCTTTCAGAGCACAGCACAGCCCAAACCCCTTCCCCTCCCCTACCTGACTTCTGCCTTCCACTTTGAGGGGTTGCCGGAGCCTTTTTGAATCCGACAGTCGCCGGCTGTGACGTCACGCCACTACGTCATGCCAGCATCCTGGCGTCTGCTGGGGTCCTGCCCTCTGGCTCGCACCCCGCCTACTCGCGCTGGAGCTGCATGCAGGCAGCCCGGTGCTGAGAATCGCTGAACTTCCCCCTTCCTGGCGGCGCTCTGCTCCTCCACCGGCCAGCGGATCAGATGGGGCCGCACTGCCCGTAGTGCGGGCTTCGGCCAGCCCGTCAAAATGGCCCACCGGGTCAATCCGCCCCTGCACTTGCCAGCTGGTAAAATCTACTCACCACAGGTGAGTGGGCGAGTGTATTTGTCGAGCCCTGATTATGTTAATGCTGAAGCTATGGAGAATGATTTAATTTATCCAGTAAGAAAGGAATTATTAAAATTTTAAATAGATTAAGTGCTTTAAATTGTTCATGTTATTTAAAATGAAGATTGATAAACTAAAGTAAAATATTAATTTATGTCCAACCCAAAAGGTTTCAATGTTTTCTTTATTTATGGCACGGGTGGGGAACCTTTTTTGGATCAGGGGCCAATGGCCCACAGAACATTCAGTGGGGACCACACAAGTGAGAAGCAAAAAAAAACCCCTCCAAAAACCGCCCAATTCTCCCTGTGTGGCCCCCAAATGAGACACCTCACTCCTCTGGCCCTCCATTTCACAGAGTGAGGGGGAGGAACAGGGAGGACTGAGGTTCAGGACTTCCCATGGGCCAGATTTACTCTTCTGGGGTTCCAAGGTTAGTGGGGAGGGACCAAATATGAAGGGTTCAGTGTGCTGGACAGGGCTGCCAGTGAATGGGATAGGGATGGGGGTGCAGGATCTGGGTGGGAGGAGAGTTGCAGGAGGAGGCTGGGAGAAAGGTGTCTGGCCAGAAGGGAGGGCGAGGGCAAGAGCAAGGTTCAATGTGTGGCCAGGAGGGAGGGTGCAGCACCAAGGGTGGGGGTGCAGGATCTGGGCATGAGGGGAGGGGGAAATTGGTTGCTTTTGCACCTCACGCCACTCCCAGCACTGTGTCCCAGGCATAGCCTCCCGCTGTTCAAATTAGCCAGATTCCAAACAATGGGAGCACCGGCAAAAGTGTCCAGGTAGTGCGTCCATGAAATGCTGTTTCCCCAGCTAGGGGAGGGGCAGCGGCAGCGTGCAGAGCTGCTTCTGGCTCCACTTCTTCTCCATAACCAGGATCCAGTGTGGGGAGGCTCGGGTTTTCCCACATCTTTCCGCTGACACTTCAACCTTGCAGGGTGGGGCAGGAGGCCGGAATGCCAGTGCGGGCTCTCTGCTGCAGGGAGAGAGATGGAGGATGGAAGGGGGGCAGCTGTTTGCAAAACCACTGGCATAGACAAAACTAATCCTTTATATGCGCAAAGGAATTAAAAGCAGCAGAAGAAAAAAAAATCAACATAAGGTAAGCATGAAATAAAGGAAACAAAAGAAAGAGAAAGGTAAGACAAAAGCATTTGAAAACTTGCCAGTTTAAACAGGTTACTCACCTTGTCATTAAGCCTGGAGAAGTCAGTGTACCTTCTGAAAACCACCCAACTTTCCTCTGGACTTCTCTTTACCAGTATTTTGTAAACCTATTGTGTGAAAATCAATAAGTATAACTTAAAAAAAAAGTACATGCAGGGCACTTGTAGAAGGATATAAATTAAAAGTTTTACCAAAATATTAGCTAACTAATATTCTACAGATTTAAAAGCCTTAAATTTAGTAGATCTCGACATTTAAATGGAAATTAACATGCACTGATCATGAAGGCAAAAATGACTTAGAAAAGTAAGGAAAAAAAAAGGGATAATGTCTTTCTCTAAGAATAAAGGGTGAAATTCTGGTTCAGGTGAAGTTAATGGTGAACTCTGACTTCAGAAGACCCAGGATTTCCACCAAAGTTGAAACCTCTGGTACCAAAGTTACATCAATAAAATATGCTATAACCTAATAAACCGGACTGGAAGCCACGTGTAGCCATTTGGGTATCCAATAAGCAGCTTGTTGGTTACCCATTTAAACAGTTACACTCTTACATCTTTAGTTAGGAATGCTCTGCCACCAAGCAATTATGTAAGACCACAAGAACAAGTCCACAGAGCAATTTAAAAGACTACAATTTTGCAGTCAGTTATGCAAAAAGACGTATATACAGAAAGTAACAGATTGTCCACCTCCTGAATATTTTCTGAGTCCACATCTTCCAAGATCATCCTTTAAACCTCACTTCCCTCAAATCTTTCAAGGCTAGTTATACTTCCCCAGCACCTTTAGATATTGTTCTGCAAACGTATGTAGAGTTTTCCAACTGATGTTGGCTTATGACTTTACTTGCATTGCTTTATAACAGGGTTAGGCAAAAGGGCCTCCACGGGCCAGATCCGGCCCACCAAGCAGGTTGATCCAGCCGGGGAGGCCCTGCCACTCCTCCCGCCCCCAGGCCAATTAGGATCTGGGGGAGGGAGGAAGCGCACAATGTTTTCTCCACCCTGCCTTACAGAGGCAGCAGTGGGGGAGCTGCACGCAACTTTGTACATGGGTACAAGTTCACATCCCTACTAAACACAAAAGATCTACATATTAAAAATAACCATTTGGCTGAGCCACCTTACAACATGAAATCAAACATTTAGCAGTAAAACATTTCAATAAATTTATACCAAAATTTTAGCAGAAAAGTTTTCCATAACAAAATAAATATTGACTTTTCAAAGCAAATCTTACAGGAGTCATTGCATTTCAAAAACTATAACAAGAGGAAACTTAAGGCTATTTATATTTTAGGTAATATCACATATTAAACATAAAAGCATTTGACCACTACAGCAAGGAAATCTTCCTGATAACTTTTTGAAAAGATAATTTCTATTAAACTTTCCATCCCCTTCCCTCTTCCTTTTCTGGGTCTTATTATTTTAAGAAGGTTTCACAGGTCTGATTGCTGATATGACCTATGGATGATGGATTCAGTGATTATTCACTGCCTGTAGTATATACTTAGAAGTAACTCTGTTTTCAATAACTAAATGAAAAAATGAAACACAGATGTTGAATAGATCCCCACTGTATGTTTTCAAATGCAACAATTACAAAAATTGAAGCAAGGCATTCAGGAAAAGCAAAAATCCTGAAAAATTAAGTATTGGTGTAAATGTAATGTCTGGAGCACATAGAGGATCCCCTCCCCCAAACTAAAAGGTTTATTGTATTACAAAGACAATAAGCTCTCCACGTTTATGTTTTTAAAATACTTTTGGCCCTGATCCTGTAAATATCTATACACGTCTAACTTTATAAACAAATAGCCCCGTTGTAAGTAAGATTACTCAAATGCATTAAACATGTCCTTAAGTGTTTCCAGAATGAGACATTTATTTATATCTTACTTTATCCCTTTGCATTTAATTATTTTATCTATGTATTTTAAAAGAAGCTGAAGAGAGCATGGTTGTTGTTCTATAACAACTTCACTGTTAAAAATCTTTTCAGACCAAATTTACTTATTATCATTAACAGTACCATTCTTCAACACGGTTTTTATACTAATATAAGTGGGCTCCAACCCAAGAAAGCTTATGCCCAAATAAATTTGTTAGTCTTTAAGGTGCCACAGGACCTCTCATTTTTGCTTAAAACATAACTTTGTTAATTTGCTTTTCGGAATGATAGTGAGGATAATGCTAAAAGTTGAGAAACGTAGGCAGTCATTGAAATGAATGTTAACTTCCTTTAAAATACTGAAAATGAAAGAACAACTTCTTATAGATAGCTTTATAACTTTAAAAATATATTTCAAGTGTCAGATGGCATGAACTTCTAGTCACGATTAATCTGGAAGACACTGAAGCTGAATTAGAGATAAAGATGTCAATTTACCAATTTCCAACTCCATCTAATTTCCACCTACTTGTCTTGTGATATTATTTTCCTGACCATTGTTTTGTAATTGTACACATATAGATCACATTGGCCTTTTAACCACAAGTGATTTTTTCCACTTAGAAGCACAATCTTCAGGAATGTGAAATCTCAGTGAAGTGCCTCAACCATTGAAGTAAATGGCATTCTTCATCTGTATAGTTCTAAAAGGGATGTCAAAGGAATTACAGCTGGCAGCTATTGCAAATGTTCAACAGATTATTTTCAGAACAGTTAAGCTGACATTTTGACATGAAATGACAGATGTTATTGTTTGCAGTTTAGTGTTCGTGCATTCATACCGAAGTGTTAAGAAACTGTTTTACGGGGCTAACACTGGCAAAACCAAAAGCTACAAAACCTGTAGTTGTGGCATTTTAGCAAATTATTTAACAGCTGTAAAGAGTAAAACCGTGTCAGTCTTTTAATGCTTGTTTTAAAAAGGATAAATTACCTTTCAGACATTAAAACATGAAGACTCTCTTCAAATAGCTACACATCACTTACTTGGTATTTTTGTCCAAGTAAGGAATTTCTGACCTGAAAGGAGTAAAGATGGTCTTATAACAGAGCAGCTGATGCAGGATTTGAACAGAAATACATTGAGGGTATTGTAATTAATTTACATCAACAAGGGTTAATGAAAACTAGGTCCTTATCAAACTATAGTAAAACTCCATTGGTCCGGCATCCAATGCTCCAGCACTCCTGATGGTCTGGCACCATCAGGAACCCGGAAGGGCTCTGGCTGTCGGACAATTGGAGCTGCTCTGCACCCGGCTTCCCTGATTCAGCTGCTGCTGAAACTGACCAGCGGCTGATTCCAGGAAGCCCGCGCGGCACAGCAGCTCTGCCCCGGACTTTCTGGAGTCAGCCGCTGATCAGTTTCAGCAGCAGCTGACTTGGGGACGCCTGGGGCAGAGTAGCTGGGGTGCTGCCGGGTTGGTCCCGCAGTGCCGAAGGGCAGTGCTACGGGACCAACCTGGTAGCACCCCAGCTGCTCTGTCGCAGGCGTCCCGGATTCAGCCGCTGCTGAAACTGACCAACAGCAGCTGAATGGGGGACACCTGGGGCAGAGCCAGACTATCGGAAAGGGGGGCTATGAGAGGGGCTGGGGGGCATCCTCCCTCCCTTCCGATAGTCTGACATATTTGATAATCCGGCACCCCCTGGATCCTAAATGTGCCGGATTATCAGAAGTTTACTGTAACTTGATAGCTTTTTGATGAATTTACAAGTTTGGTATATTTAGACTTCTGTAAGGTATCTGACTTGGTAACACACACAGAGTAAAAAACTAGAATGATGGTCCCAAAATTTAATTGTATTATGTGGAAGTATCATTGAGTGACTGTGTTTCTAGCTCAGCTCGACAGGGTTAGGTTCTTGGCCCTTCACTATTTAACATTTTTATCAATTACCTGAAAGAAAACTAAATTAACACTTATAAAGTTGGCAAATAATAACAACAAAGATAGTGGTTAATAACGAAAAGTACAGGTTTATTGACTTAGGGCAGAGTTTCCCCAAAGTGTGCTCCGTGGAGCCCTGGAGCTCTGTGAAATGGGTCCAGGGGCTCCATAGGAAAATATTAATGACAGTGTTATTTTGTTACTAATTTTCTGGGGGTTTTTCGGGGGGTTTTCAAGAAAACAAAAAAACAGACTGTATAAGAAACAACAAACAACAGAATTCCAAAAGTTTGTATATGTATTTGGATACCTATTGAATTTAAAATGACAGTCTTTTAAGGGTTCTGCTACATTTTCAAGACCCTGTAGGTGCTCCACAGCTAAAAGAGTTTGGGAAACCCTGACTCAGCTATCTGGATTGTTTGATAAACCGGGTAAAAGCAAGCATTATGCCTTTTAATGGGTTAAATGTAAATGTATACATCTAAAAAGAATGCAGGCTATACTTCCCTGGAGAGGGACTATCTTGAGAAGCAAGACTCTGAAAAAGATTTTGGGTCACAGTTGGTAATCAGCAGAACAAATTACCAATTGGGCAAAGGATGCTGATATTAGAAAAGAATTCAGAAAGAACTACATACATGATTAAAGGATCAGAATAAATGCCTTACCATGGGATTCAAAGAGCTCAGTGTATTTATCTTTATAAAGAAAAGGTTAAGGTGTGATTTCATTGAAGTATCTTACGTATCTACTTAGGGAACAAATATTCAATAATTGGTTCTTTAGTGTAGCAGAGAAAGATACAAGATCTAATGGCTAGAAGCTGAAGCAAGACAAATTCAAATTGGAAAAAGGTGTAAAGTTATAACAGTGAGTAATTTAATTAACCATTGGAATAATTTACCAGGGCTCATAGTGGATTTTCCATCCCTGATCATTTTTAATGATTAGATGTTCTTCTAAACAATGTGCTCTAGGCATAATTTATGGTGAGTTCAATGGGCCTGCGTTATACAAGACGTTGGATCAGATGATCACAATGGTTTGTTCTAGCCTTGGAATCTACCAAATCTATAAGGCAGTGAACTGATTCTACTGCAGAGTGTCTATAACTTGGGAAAACCAAGATACATAGTTTGTCTCTCTCAATATGCAGATTGGGGAGACTACTCTCCTATCTCACAGCAGTATTTTGAAGCTAAATTAGTATTTGTGAAACACTCCAAGATCCCTGAATAGAAGATGCTTTATTATTTAAATTAAATTAAATTAAATCCCATTATCTTTATGGGGGAACTGCACTTCTCCGAGAGAAACTTACAGTGAATTTTGCTCTTTCTTCCATCACCTCATAACCCAGTATGGTAGGTGTAGAGGGTCGATCTTCCCAGCTCCCAGAATCTGTATTTTGCTCAGTACCCTCCATAAGCTGAGTACAGTATTCAATGGATGTGTCCACACCTGTAAATGTAGTCCTAATAAGTGGGCTACTACATAAAGATGATGTGGAGCCAATCTGGTCAGGCACACTCATCTTTTTAAAACTACCAATGGTAGACCCCTCCAGCTGCCCTTTTGAAGAATTTGAGTTTGTTGAGATGCTCCCAAAGGAAGAACTTCTTTGGTTTCTGTTTGTTGTAAAGTTGGAAGAAGAATTTCCTATAGGAATAGGAACAGGAACATAGGAGGTTGCCATTCTTCATTAGAAAACTTCAGCAAATCTATACTTCGTGGTCCAAATGTTTAAGGTTCATTCTCTTCTTTTCAAGAATACAATATCTGTAAATAAAGAAAACTTTGAAATGACAATCTTTCTTAATATTTCTACAATGAATGTAATATTAAAATAAGGTATTTGGAGAAATCCAATACAAGAATTAAGATAACAGTTAAAATGCCAATACATGGCATTTGCTATCATTTTAAGTGTCCCTTGAAAAGGAAATCTGTAATTTTTAAAAGGTGCTTTGTCAGAGATGTCCTCCACCTCTCAGAGCCCTTAAAACCGGAAGGGATAGTTACAGTATGGCTTGCATCCCATTGCACAACCCAAAAGAAAAAGACTATATTTAAATACTGTTGCATCATGAGGGGCACATAATGGAAGTGGGGGCTGGCTGGGAGGGGGGCGGGGGGAGGATTGGGCGGG